GTCTGGTCTGAATGGAGCAGCAGCACTGGGGTCATGAGAGAGACATTCTCCTATAATGTCCTTCTGAGTGCTTTCAAGCACTGCCTTTCCTGTGCAGGACTCGAATCCCTCTGGAATTGATGTGTGCATGTCATCACGTGGGGTTCTAATTTCATCCTTTCCTGTGTTGTTGGTATGTTAACCAAGCTCTCCATTTCCCATGAGTGGTTAGGATGCCCCCGTGCTGGGCTGAGCTTCAGTCTGCATGCAGGTTTGTTTCTCACCCTGTGTCAATGCCATACCTTTCTAAGGAGCATCACTTTAACGAGGACTTGCTAGTTAGGTGAGCAAGTGCCCCCTTCCTTCTAATTCACGTGGCTATTCTTGATTTTTTAATTTTTTATATTAATTTTGGTATACTTTTGTTAAAACTGCATCAATTCTACGATTCTAATTAAAAGCAACATATTGTTATAGATGAATTTGAAGCCAACTGCTGTTTTAAATATTGGACTCATTCATAAACTGAGTATCTCTACATACATCTTTTTCAATGCCTATAATACAGTATTACAATTTTATTTATGAAAGGCTAAAAACATAGTATATACCTTTCTCTCTACCTCCCAGGCTCCATGTGGCCTACACTCTCCTCTCCCAGGCCATCTCGATGGAAAGATAGTACAGAGGCCGGAGGGAGTGGTGTGAGACTAGAGGTCATTGTTGGGGCGCTAACGAAGAGAGGAGCCCCGGAGGGGCAGTGGTGAAGCCCTTGGCCAAAAGGGGGGCACTTTGAACCCACCGGCCTGCCCTGCATGAGAGAAGACCTGCGATGTGCCCCCAAGAGGATATAAAAACCAACCAAACGGCCCGACGCAACACTGTTGTCAGGTCAGTCTGGACCCACGGCACCCCGAGAGTGGGCTTCTGAGGCTGCGCATCGTTACAGGGCAGAACGCCCGATCTTTCCCCCTCGGAGGAGCTGGTGTTTCCAGCTGAGGGCCCAATGCGTAAGATGTCGCCAAGCTCCTTCCAGGCAGTGTCCAGCCTAGAAAGCCCTGCGAGGCCAGGCTGTCGGGTCTGGAATGGACCCCCGGCAAACATCGAGGGTAGAGTAACGACGAAGGAGCAGACCGCACAGGATGGGAAGGGCCTGGACTGTGAGCTCCAGGAACGACGCTGGTGAAGTTCAACCGGAGAGGAACGTCACATTCCAAGTGGACAGAGAGCGAGCGGGCTGTGTGAAAAGCAGCTAGGATGGCGCAAGGCCCAGCACCCCCACCCAGCCCGGAAGCTGGTGTTTAGTCCAGCCACTGTGGCCACTGTGCCCAAGGGCGATTGCCTACTGTGTGCCGGGTCTGCAGTGTCCCTGGGCCCCACAGCTCTGACATCTCACGCCATGTCCTTCCCAGTCCTCCCAATCTCCCTTACGGGTGGGAACTCTCAACTCGCCCCTGTATCCGGAGAGAGAGCCCTGCTGGAGACCCATCCAAAACCAGGCCCCTGATGGTCAACTCAGCGGATTAGGGTTAGGGTTAGAAACAGGTACAGTGCGCGCTCCCTGCCCATGTTCCAAGGGTCCTGGTCCAACCACCCGAATCATGACTATTTCTGCGTGTGTACCTTATTCTGCCCTACTTCCCTCAAGGATTTTCCACAAAATACCTTGCTACGTGCTGGAGGGACTGCTGGGTGGGGGGAGGCTTTGTGGTGGGGGCTGAGTGCTGCAGACTGAGAGCCAAGCCCTGCTGTCCCAGGGCCCTGGGGTCATCTGCCCAGGTCCAGTGGCCAGAGGCTGGAGGGGAAGGAGTGGAGCCCGTGGTCGAAGCTGGAGGTCTGGGGTCCAGGGCACAGGACCGGAGGCCTCCTTCTTGACTTCAAGGAGTCCATCTGATCATGAGGAAGAGAAGGCATGGATCAAACTATGGCCCGCGGGCCACATGCGGCCCACCGAGGACTTTTATCCGGCCCACTGGGTGTTTTTGCCCCGTTTGTTTCTTTACTTCCAAATAAGATTTGTGCAGTGTACATAGGAGTTTGTTCATAGTTTTGTTTTGTTTTTTAACTATAGTCCAGTCCTCCAACGGGTCTGAGGGACAGTGAACTGGCCCCCTTTTTTAAACGTTTGATAAAGATTTATTTTAAAATGAAATAAAAAACAGCCCCATTACCAGAAAATCCACCGGCCAGGTCAGAGTGGACATGCCTTCCGTGAATGGCTTACTATTCCACTTTCTCCGGATCATAAATAGCCAAGAAGTTAGGGCGGCAGGTACCACCAGAAGCAGACTGCCACCAAAGAGCTCCCAACATCAACCCTGGGATCACAAGCCCACACATGTTGCAGTACCAATCTGCTACCAGCTGAGGGCGATAGCATGCCAGGAATGGAAGGCTGGCGAGCACACACTAGGTGGAGTATCCCTTACCCACCTCAATGCCCAGGAGAGGTAAGCAGTGGGGAGAGGCTGCCTCAGGATGGGGGCATTAACCCTGGCTGTGCCACCAGGGCCCATTGCGGTCTTTCCTGGACTGCCAGCCACCTCGGCCACAGCATGAAAACCGCTTTATACACAGCTGGCGACTGACGAACAAACGTGTGTGGACAGTTTGTCAAATAGTCAAACCGCCGATTTTTAAGTCTGTCTTGCAACAAATGGAGCCTTGCTGATGGCAGCCCTGGAGATGCGTCCACCACCACTCACCCCGAGGACTGTGCACCCACCGGTCTGTGATCTTCCTGCATTAGGCATCATTGCATGTGGCTGCAGGAGTCTAGAGAGGGATTTATGGACTGGTAGTGGACATGGGGGCTAATATAGGACTTTACGGACTTGATCTGAACTTGATGTCTTCTCAATATACACTTGCTCTTTGATAAAACACTCTCTCTTACACATTTGAGTGTCTCTGGATTGGTCAGCCCGGACTAACACACCATCCTCGTGTCCCATCTGAACAGGGCAAGCTCGGAGCTCTGCATCCCAAGTGTTCTCTGCGTCTGTAGTGTTTGGTTCAGTCCCGTAAGGTCGGACTAACGCCTCGGGCGCCACACGGCTTGTGCTTGGAGGTGAAGCGTGTGGTGTCCCTCCTCTTTTTCAAAACCCCTGAGCTTGGGAGGTGAGATGGGTTGTTCAAGGAGTGCAATGCGAGAGCCAGGCTCTGATCTGCGAACCCCCACCCCATTCACAGTTTTAAAAAACAACGCGGGAGCACCCTTCCCCAACCGGTGTGTCGCTCCCGGCCTGTCTGCCCACAGCTGTGCTCATTTCTCGCTGGATTGGCGCTGTTTGGTGGCTGATGGGCAGGAGACAGCCTAGCACAGCCCCACGCGTGGCCACACGCCTTCCGTTGGTTGGCAGTGAGAGGCAGGATCTCAGAGCCCCAGGACGGGGCCTGGGTGTGGGTGGGCCGAGCAGTGCTTCTGAGCAGGGACAGACAGGCTGCTCAGCCTGCAGGGATGAAAGGAACTTTGGATGCTGAAGAAGCGACCTCCTGCAGCAGCCAGGCGGCCTGAAGGCTGGGCTCTGGTTTGTTGCAGCAGGAGCAGTAGCGAGTGTGCCCCCTTTGTGCGTGGGGCCAGAGCTCAGGAGTTGTAAGGGGAGGATGGACGTCGCTGGGGTTCACAGACCCCATTTATGCCCCACTGCAGGTCTGTGGCTGCCCGCTCTACTGCAAGGGCCCC